GATATATGCACACCAATGTTCATTGCAGCACTGTTCACAATAGCAAAAAGATGGAAACAACCTAGGTGCCCATCAACAAATTATGGTACATACACACAATGGAATACTATGCAACGATAAAGAGCAGTGATGAATCCTCAAAATGTCTCACAACATGAATAAATCTGGAAGGCATTATGCTGAGTGAAATTAGTCAGTCACAAAAGGACAAATACTGCATGAGACCACTATCATAAGAACTCAACAAAAGGTTTAAACACAGAAGAAAACATTCTTTGATGGTTATAAGGGTGGGGAGGGGGGAGAGGGGACTTCACTAACTAGATAGTAGACAGTAATCATTAGGTGAAGGGAAGGACAACACACAATACAAGGGAAGTCAGAACAACTGGACTAAACCAAAAGCTAAGAAGTTCCCTGAATACAACCAAACACTTTGAGGGTCAGAGTAGCTGGGGTTGGGGTCTGGGGACCATGGCTGCAGGGGCCATCTAGGTCAACTGGCAGATAGTTTATTAAAAAAATGCTCTGCATCCCACTTTGGTGAGTGGTGTCTGGGGTCTTAAAAGCTAGTGAGCAGCCATCTAAGATGCATCAATTGGTCCCAACCCACCTGGAGCAAAGAAGAATGAAGAACACCAAAGACACAAGGAAAATATTAGTCCAAGAGACAAAAGGGCCACATAAACCAGAGACTCCATCAGCCTGAGACCAGAAGAACTAGATGGTGCCTGGCTACCATCAATGACCACCCTGACAGGGAACACAAAAGAGAGTGCCTGATGGAGTGGGAGAAAAGTGTGGAGCAGAATTCAAATTCATGTAAAAAGACCAGACTTAATGGTCTGATGGAGACTGGAGGGACCCCTGAAGCCATAGCCCACTGGACACTCCTGTTAATCCAGAACTAAAACCATTCCCGAAGCCCAGTCTTCAGACAAAGATTAGATTGGACTACAAAACATAAAACAATAATCATGAAGAGTGCGCTTAGTTCAATCAGATACATGAGACCAAATGGGCGGCTCCTGTCCAGAGGCAGGATGAGAAGGCAGGAAGGGACAGGAACTGATTAAATGGACACAAAAAACCTGAGGTAGAAAGGGGGAGTGTGCTGTTACATTACAGAGATTGCAACTAATGTCACATAACAATATTAGTTTTTTTTTTTTTCCCACAATAGTGGCTAACTGATTCACCCAGCATATTAATTTTTTTTTCTTTTGTGAAATATAACATTCATAGAGAAAAATACATAAAACATACATATAGTTTAACAAATAACTATGAAGTGAACATCCACCTATGTCATTACCATCACCTCAGAAGCTCCTACTTTCTCCACCCTGTGTGGCTTCTCATTTATTACCCCATCCCTCCCCATGATCCTGACTTCTGAGATAATCATTCCCTTGCTTTTTTGTATAGCTTCACCACATACTACACAAAACAGCATTGCTTAGTTTTACCTGTTGCCAGCCTTTTTATTCTGTACGATTTCTTTTTTGTCTAGCTTCTTTTGCTCAGCATTATGTTTGTAAGATCCCCTCGTGTTGTAACCATAATCTGTTCATTTTCATTGCTATGTTATACCTTATTTTATGAATATACCCCAATTTATGGATATTTGTGGAATTTCCAGTGTAGGACCATTACTAAACCGTGACTTTAAGTAATCTTGTACATGTATTCTAGTACATGTGTAGGAATTTCTCTGAACCAGTAGCTCTCATTTTTTTTTTTTGGTCTCAGAATGTTAAAAAAAAAATAAAAGAAAATTTATTAAGTTCTGAGATATTTAAAAATGTTAATTCAATAGTTCATTTAAAATAATAAATCAATTACATGTTATATTAGTTTCCTGAGTCAGCCATAACCAATTACCACAAACTAGGTGGCTTAAAACAACAGAAATTTATTTTCTCACAATTCTGGAGGCCAGAAGTCTGAAATCAAGGTGTTGGCACGGTTGGTTTCTTCTGGAGGCTTTCAGGGAGAATCTGTTCCATGCCTCTCTCCTAGCTTCTGGTGGCTGTAGGCAATCCTTGGCTTATAGATGCAACACTCCAATCTCTGCCTGTCTTCACATGGCCTTCCCCTCTGTGTGTTCTGTCCGTGTGTCTTATATCTCTCTCTCCTTTCTCTTATAAAGACACCAGTCATTGGCTTTAGGGCTCACCCTAAATCCAAGATAATCTCATCTTGAGATCCTTAATTACATCTACAAACCCTGTTTCCAAATAAGGTCACATTCATAGACACCAGAGCTGAGGACTTGGGCATATCTTTTTGGAAGACACAAGTCAACTCAATACACATTAATATAAATAACTCATTTTTATGAAAAATAACTGTATTTTCCAAATAAAAATTTAGTGAGAAGAGTGGCACTGTTTCACATTTTTATAAATCCCTTTAATGTATGGATTCATAGAAAAGCTGGATTTTCATCTACTTTTACATCAAATTCCTTATGTGTTATTTTGGTTGAACCATATGATGAAAATCCAGCCTCAGACAGTCTTTGGACAACACTTTGAGAACTAATGCTCCAAAGTATATACTCTAAAGTATATATAAAACATGTCCCTGGGTGGCACAGTTTGTGCTAGACTACTAACTGTAAGGTTAGTGGTTCAAACACATCCAGAGGGGCCCAAAAGAAAGGCCTGGTGATCTGCTTTCAAAAGATCACAGACCTGAAAACCTTATAGAGCACAGTTATACTTTGAAATACACTAGGTCGCCAGGAATCGACCGGATGGCAATGGTTTTTTTTTTTTTTAAATATAAAGTGGAATTTCTAGGAGATATACCTATATCTATACATAGATAGGGAGTCCTGGTGGTGCAGTGGTTAAGAGCTCTGCTACTAATCAAAAGGTTGGCAGTTGGAATCCACCAGCTGCTCTTTGGAAACCCTATGGGGCAGTTCTAGTCTGTCCTGTAGGGTAGCTGTGAGTCAGAATCAACTTGACGGCAACAGGCTTTTGTTTTTGGTTTACACATACAGATTCATCTCTTTAACTTTAGTAGATAATGCCACATTGTTTTCCAAAGTGGTTTTACCAATTTACAATTCCACCAACAGTGTATGCGGTATCTTCTTGCTCTATAAGCTCCGAATATCTGGTATAGTTAAAACTTTAAAAATCTTTCCTGTCTGGTGGTGTGTAATGTATCGCATGTGGTTTTACTCGGTTTTTTTGTACTGCCATTGTATGTATGAAGAAACTAAGATTTAGAAAAGCAACATTATTTTCCCAAGGTCACAGAACTACCAAGTTAAAAAACAGAACCCATGTTTTCTATTTTCAAATTCCGTTTGCTTTCCACTCACCCACACAAATAATGCTTCCGTTTCTAGCCCAGTTTTCCGGAAGGCTTAGTATCCCACAATTCTTGTCTCCTCCGTGCTGGCAAAGAGCTCAGGCTGCTAACCAAAAGGTCAACAGTTCGAATCCACCAGCCTCTCCCTGGAAACTCTATTGCGCAGTTCTACCCTGTCCTATAGGGTCGCTATGAGTCGGAATCGACTGAAGGCAATGTTTTGTTTTTCTGTGCTACTGAGGGCTCTGACCTCAGGTCTCCTTCATTCCTTTCCCCAGTGCAGGAGGCTTTGCGCATCCCAAGCCGCTAGCGGTCCGCTGAACAGCCCTGCAACTCCTTCGGCCCGGCCACGAAACACACATCCGCACGCACGCGCACGCACGCTCGCACACGCGCCCAGGTCGCTAGGGGTCCTGGACAACCCTGCCTGACCTCCCCGCCCCCCACCTCAACACCGCTGGTTTCCTTGCTTCTTTCCTACCCGTCTACCTCTACTTCCGTCTCATAAAACCCTGTAGCCACCCTCGGCTGCCCATCTTAAAGTGCTGAGCCACACTGTGGTCATTTATAAAGAAGGAATAATAGTAACTAATTCATGCTTATATGCATGAGAAAATGTATGATATACTGTAAAAAAAAAAAAAAAATCACCTGTTAGCTATAATTATACACCATCCTGGTGGCGCAGTGGTTAAGAGCTCGGTGGCAGTTCAGAATCCACCAGCCGCTTCTTGGAAACCCTGTGGGGCAGTTCTCTGTCCTACAAGGTCCCTAAGAGTCGGAATCGACTGGATGCCCAACGGGTTTTTTTGGTTATTATTTATTAAGCACTCCAATACATACCAGCAGTGTGATCACTGGCAAATTACTCAATTTATTTCTGTTTCCTCTTCAGTAAAATAGGCGTAGTACCTACCTCATAGAATTCGAAGGATCGAATGAAATAACAAGTGCTTAGCACAGTGCCTGATGATAAGGAGTGCTCAATAGATGTTTATTTTTATTTAACAAAAGTTTATCTAGTGCGTATGGTGTGCCAGCTACTCTTCTAGGTGTTTTCCAAATACTGAAGCCTCATAATCCTCCTCTGAGGTAGATACTGTTATTATCCTCACTTTACAGATACAAAAACTGAGGCAGAGAAGTTAAACAATTGACACAAGTTCCCGCAGCTAGTAACCGGCAAAGGAGGGATTAGAAATCCTGCAGTCTGTCTGGTCCCAGAATCAGCGCTCCCTGCTAAACTGTTTCTCTCAAATATTGACTTATGAGAAAACTCTGCAAATTGCAAAGCGCTTTGCCATTGGTGATTAGTCCCCTAGGGCAAAATAAATTCTTCGCTCCCTCGTGGCTTCCTAAGAGCTCAGCTTTTCAGAGACAAAAGCCTACCCGCTTTCTCTCGCAAGCAGTGTCGTTCCGACCGCCGCCTGCACCAATGATGCACCGCCAGGGCACGCCCTTTCTTCTGGGCCCACCTCTCTCCGCCCTGCTACGACACGCAGTGCCACGCTAAGCACGCCGGCCCCGCCCTTTGCCCCCGGCTGCGGCGGCAGCAGAGCCGACGCGTCGCGGGCTTCCACGTATACGTTCCAACGCCTCTCTCCCCCTACGGCGAGCACATCCGGGTCGCTACAGCCGGTGCCTCAGGCCCCGCCCCTCTCTTCTAAGCACTCATCCCCTCTTCCGGCCATCGCAGCCCTTTTCCGCTTGTTTTCTGCCGGCTTTATCTGCGCGCTCCTAAGTCGTTCCTGGCCTCCGGTCCCTCTACGCTCTTCACCCGGTCCCAGCGGCTCGCTGCTCATCCCGAATCTCCCCGAGACTCGGAGGGCTCTGCCGTTTCTGCCGTGCGTTTTCTCCGGGAGGCCCGGGCTGAGGCCTGCCACGCGCAGTGACTGCCTCGCTTACCAGACCCCGCGTCTCCCCTCAACTTCGTTGAGGCCGCGGCCGCTGCCGCCTCGAGATGCTGCTGTCAGGGTCCGCGCAGCGCTGGGCAGCCTCTGCGGGCCGTTGGGGCTGCAGGCTTCTAGCTTTGCTGCTGCTGGTGCCGGGGCCCAGCGGCGCCTCTGAGATCACCTTCGAGCTGCCCGACAATGCCAAGCAGTGCTTCTACGAGGACATCACACTGGGCACTAAGTGCACCCTCGAGTTCCAGGTACCACGGGCCCTGGAAGTCCCGGGGTCCCAGCTCGCGGCTTCAGGATCAGAGCTGCAACCTGCTGGTGTCCCTTCTCCTGTCGTGTTTTTCTGTTCTTTGGCAGGTTCAGGAAGCACCTCTAGGGAGCTGATAGGAACAGGCAATTGGTTTTCCTGTACCAAACATTTAGCACCGGATATTAGGGTATATGAATTCCAGAAATGCTTCCCCTAGCTGTGACATTTCTTTATATTCTCGAATGTCCTTCATTTTAAGGGAGCATTGAGCTTTCTTCCTTAAAAGATCCTCCTTTAAAAAAAATTACTCCTGCTCTGTAATGCCCGGTGTCAGCCTCCCACACCTGGTCCACTCCTCCACTTGAATCTCCGTTGAAGTGATGCCAGTGTCTAACTCCATTGCTTTTACATTGAGGTTAGGATTGTTGATTAAATGTGCTCTCAGCCTTGGGAGCACTCCATTAGAGGCGGAATGACCACCCGCCAAAGAGTTGCTGTGATAAATAAGAGGCCCTTCTGATCCTAGATATTGTGCAAAAGAAACTTTATTTAACAGAATGTAGTTTCTTAAATTGGCTAGGGCAATCTTTACTGTTTCCCTTTTTGTTGGTAGGCTCATTTTACATATTTGAGCAGCTATTTAGTGTTAGGTGCTGGTGATAATAAAAGTGATTGATCAAAGCAGATAGAGTTGCTGTCATCATTTTTGATTCCCCTCCCATCCTAGCCTTTTCTTAATTAGTACCTGCTCATTCATCGAAACTGTGCTTTGAGAGCAGAAAATAGGGAATGTGTGACCTGGTCTTTGGGATCCATGAAGGCTTCCTTCAGAAAGTGATTTTAAGCTGAGCTTTAAAGGATGAGTTATAAATACTTTGATAAGGGGGAAGAGAGAATAGCCTTTGCATGGACCCTGTGGTAAGAGTGAGCACTGGGAACATAAGAGCCATAAAGAGGTCTTGTGATATGGTTGGAGAATAAGGAGCCAGAAGAAGAGTGGTAGAAGATGAGGGCTGGGAGGTCAGCAGGGCCTTTTTGGCCATGTTAAGGCTTTTTGCAGTGACATAATCAGAGTATTTCTGGTAGCTGTGTGGTAAGATGTTGCAGAGTGGAGGTGGCGACTAGTTAGGAGGCTACTGTTGTGGTCCAGGCAAGAGATGATAGTGGCTTAGGCTAAGGTGTTAGCAGTGGGAAGGAGAAAAGGACTGGAGAGAATTTAGTAGGAAAAGTAAACAGGTCTTAGTGATGATTTGTCTATAGGATGTGAAAGAGGGAAGGTTAAGGATGACCCTTAGGCTTACTTAACTCCATGAGTTAGGACTAGGGGACAGAAAAGGAGATAGCAGGAATTGTAATATAAAGTGTCATATAATTAAATGCAACAATAAAGGTACACACTAAGTATAGTGCTGGCAGAAGGATGAAGGATTGTCAGGAAAAATTTAACTGAGTCTGATGTTTCAGTTGAATCTGGAAGGATAAATAGAAGTTGCTCTATATTACAGAGGAGCCCTGGTGGTGCAGTGGTTAAGCGCTTGGCTGCTAACCAGGTCAGCGGTTTGAACCCACCAGGTTTGAACCCACCAGCCGCTCCACAGAAGAAAGATGTGGCAGTCTGCTTCCATAAAGATTTACAGTCTTGGAAACCCTATAGGGCAGTTCTTCTTTGTCCTGTAGGGTCGCTGTGAGTTGGAATCAACTCAACGACAGTAGGTTTTGGTTTGGCTCTATATTCCAGGCGTATATGTTATGTTGTGAGAGTTAATTCCAGAAGGTCTGAAATTACACTCAGCTCTTTTGCTGAAGTTTGTGCATGGCACTGACCCCTGGTCAAAGCATGAAATACGCTGAATATTGTTGTTGCTTTGAAACTGTGGGTCAGAGGACTGTAAGAACGGTTTGTACCGAGTTTGTCTGCATTGTTTATTGATAACGGTGGGATTGATGATTTGTACCTGGTCTAGGTGAGGCCCCCCAAGAGCTCTGCTATTGAGACTGGTTACTTAGCAGGAATATGCCTGTGTGACCAGCAAAGTATAAAAAAGCCCCAGTCAAAACTTTATTTTGGCCTCCCTGATTCCAAAGTGTTCCTTGCACACTTGGGTGGTTCCTAATCCTGAGAGAGACTGTGTGTGTCGGTCACAGGTCACAGCCTTCACAGAGGGAAGACAAAGGAGCCTGCACCTGACCTCTCCAGACCTCTTGCTGTGAGACAGTCTTTGTGATGCATATCCTTGCTTTAGTCTTGTTGCTATATTGTATTTTCCTGTAATAAACTGTAGATTTGTAAGCACTGTCATTTTGGGTCCCGTGATTCTTCTTCAGCAAACAAACCTGTTTAACTGCTACTGTTAGTACAGATGTGAAGCAAAGACATTCAGAGAACCTCTGGTAGTCTGGTATTTTTGGCACATAGAGTGAGCAAGGGTATGAATAAAAGAGATCCTGAGGCTACCTGGAGGAGGAACAAGGGAATGTTATGCCATTGTTAACAGGTTTGGATTTTGTTGTAAGCCACAGGTAATTATCAAAAGGTTTTGAGCGAATGCTTCATTGGGTGTGGGGTTAGGTAGGGAAAAGTGGAGCACCACCCCCCATTCCCCCAGGAAACATTTGGTGATGTCTAGAGATATTTGATGTCTAGAGACGTTTTTGGTTGTCACAGTTGATGGGATTGGGGATGGGGGGGCTACTACTAGCATCTAGTAGTTAGAGGCCAGGGATGCTGCTAAACATGCTACAGTGAACAGGACAGTATAAACCCCTACAACAAAGAATTTTCTGGCTCAAAATGGAAGTAGTGCTGAGGTTGAGAAACCCCGGTTAAAGGGAGAAGAGATTTGATTATGGGAAGACCTGTTACAAAGCTGTGGCAGTAGTCCTGTCTGGATTGTGGATTAGGAATGGAGAGAATAAAATCAATTTGAGAGAAGCATAGCGTGAGATTTCTGTGCTCAAGTGGACAGGTAGGGATACTTAGTTTGGAATGATCCCCAGTTTCTATCTTAGGTGACCAGATAGGTTGTAAAGGGGTATCATTAACGGAAGTAAGATTACCTCTTTTAAAGTTTGATGGGAGACGAATAGGGTGGTGATCATTTCTGGTCCTATTAAGTGTGAATGTATGTATTTGATTATTGAAAGTATAACAGTGGAGTATAAAAAATAGGGTATATCAAAATGAAGTCATTATTTTCACCTGAAGGAAAGATCAGTTGACTTTTGGGGGAAAAGGTAAATGCCCAACTGATAAGACACTGTATGTTATGTAAAAACATTTTATCTGTATATTAGTATTTACATATTTTACAGTTTTCCAAGTGTATAATTATGTTTCATTTAATCACCAAAATAATCTTGAAACATAATTTAGTTACTCATTATATCTTTTAAGTTGCAAAAGGTCACATAAAATAACCATTCTTTGAAGTCCAAAGTGTGACCTCTCTGTTCTACTGATTTTGAATGTCAATATGTGCAACCAAGAGGATTCAAGCTTGAAAATACAGACCTGTGCCACCCAATCTCATGGCGGTTGGGAACCCTTAATCCCAATGTCTCTTTCTTACCATTTGTTTCTCAAATGGATGTACATACCTTCCTCACCCTCTTTCTTTCTACTCAGTTCTTATCTAAGAGTGTCTTTCTCCTCTTTAATTCTTTGGCACTTATTTGTCTTACAATGCTTGTCCAGTTACCTCAGGAAAGATCTTTCCCTCCTCTCTTCATTTGTGCAACCTAAATGACCAAATTGTAACTGATTACACATAAACCAAAACCAAACCCGTTGCCGTTGAGTTGATTCTGACTCATAGTTACCCTATAGGACAGAGTACAACTGCTGCATAGGGTTTCCAAGGCTGTAAATATTTATGGAAGCAGATTGCCACATCTTTCTCCCACGGAGCAGCTGGTGGGTTCAATCTGCTGTCATATCGATTAGCAGCTGAGTGCTTTAACCACTAGGGCTCCTTTGATTACACCTAAGCCCTTAAATGTAAGTTTTCAGACAAACAAAAGATTTGTTTGTTTTTACTTTGTTCTGTTTTGGTTTTGCTCTAATCACAAGTGTTTAGACAATATTGTTTAATCAGTTATGTTTCTCTCGTAAACAAGGTTGTAAGTGATATACTCTTAAAAAAGCCCACAGACTACTGAACTCCAAATGTAGTTCAAAACAAAATAGGTATAAAATCTGTAGAACTGATTTATAAAAGAACTTAAGATTGAATTGGCAAAAGTTGTGTGATAGATATATTCATAACAATGACAAAAAAAAAAGTAGCTGCTGAGGCTGCTTATGTACAACAAATACCTCATGGGATTTCGTTACTTGATTTGAGGTTTAGGGTCATGGTTTCATGGAACGTCCCAGTTAATTGGCCTAATAACATGTTTACCTCCTAGTTCAGTGCGTAGTGTCTAGGGTTTAAAAGCTTGCAAGCGGCCATACAAGGGACAACAACTGGTTTCTGTTTGCCTGGAACAGCAGAGAAAGGAGAGTCTGGAATAGGAGGCGGCTATGGAATGTGTGGCTAATTGCCTCCATGAACAACTGCCTGCTTTGCCATGAGACCAGAAGAACTGGATGGTGCCTGGCTACCATTACTGAACATTTTGATCAAAGATTGCGTAGAAGAATCCTGATCAAAAGGGAGAAAAGGCAGAACAGAATTTCAAATTCTCATAGACTCCAGACTTCCTGGAGCCATGAAGGTTGGATGATCCCCTGAAACTGTTGCCCTGATGTAACCGGACTGTTCACGTCGGCTCGGCGTGGCCGTAGAGACACAAAACAGTTGAAAGCAAAAGAAGAAGCTTTATTTGGTTGGCCACGCAAGGGAGCACACCGGGACTTGCATCGCCAAGATGGCTTCGTGAACAGTGGCTGAAACAGTATTTATTAGGGGAAGGGTCCTGGCAGAAAGGAGCAAGGTCGTTGATTGGTCTGGCCAGAAAAGACGTTCCGGGGCAGTTCCGTCATCTGTGCTTGCTCAGTCCAAAGGGGGGGGGGGGGCTTTCAAACTGGATCTTAGGCTCAAACCCCTCACTTCTGAAGTCTTCCCCTAATGTTGGGCCGCTAAAGTTTGGTTCTGTCCGGCAGGAGAAAAGCTCCGGGGTCACTGAGAGGGGTGGGTGGATGGTTTAGCGCATGTCAGGTGGGCCAGATTTGGTCTTAACTGGTTCTGTGGTCTGCAGACCCCAGCCTTTTGTTTTTCTTATCTTAGGCAGGAAGTTGGTTGATTGCCTAAAAAAAAAATCTGGAGAAACCAGTTAGAAGGGGAGGTGGCTCATGCTACTCTGCTTACAAGTTGGGGGTTGGTGATGGTGCCCAGGGGCTGGGGGTCTCACTGATGTAATCTTTAAACCTTCAAACAGAAATATCCCCTGAAGTCTTCTTAAAACCAAACAATAGTTTAGTTTAACTCGTAAAAAATGTCTGCCTTGAGCATTATGCTCTATTAAGAACTATCTATACGGGATCAAATTGACAACAGCATCTGTAAAGATTTGATAGGAACCTTAGAGGGCAGTGAATTTATGTTAATGAGGGAGGAACAACTCAGAAAAGGAGGATGAGAATGGTTACACAACTCAAATGTAATCAGTGTCACTAAATAGTACGCGTAGAAACTTGAATTGGTGTATGTTTTGCTGTGTGTATTCTCAACAACAACAAAATAAATAAAATTTTATATATATATATATATATATATAAAAGAACTTACGAACCACAATCTATTTGTAATTTGGCGGTAAACGGAACTGACGTTCTGTGATAGAATGGGATGTTATGCCAAGGACTGACCTACTTTAGTACTTAACTACACTATGCTAGGAATGTGCTTGGATGGCACTAACAGGAAACTAGATGAGAAAATTTGGGGAAGGAAAATATTACATATAGCAATAAGCTTAGTTGTTAAGAGTATAACTTTGGAGTTCAAATTCTGCCTCTGTTATTTACTAGATGAGTAATATAAGGAAGTTACTTATCTTAACCTCATTTTCTCAGTCTACCAGATGAGGAAGAAAAACCTTCCTTGTAGGGTCATTGGGAGAACTAAGAGATAAAATCAACTGTGCTACATTAACTAGCACAGTAGTTTGGCTAGTTACAGTAAATTAAAATTTCTTCTCCCCTGTAATGCGGAAACCTGCTCGGGTTTCTATAAAGCTGTAGGAGGGCTGAACTGAAATCTGCCTCCCAAGTCCTTTCCACTGGTAGAAATAAAAAAAATGTAAAATTACCTGTGAGAGTAAAAGTCCTTTGTCTATAACCATATTGCCCTTTTAACAGGAAACCTACCTATTTCTCAGACTTGCTGGTTGCAGTGATCTCTTGTGTTTTTATCTTTTTATAGGTGATTACTGGAGGTCACTACGATGTAGATTGTCGATTAGAAGATCCTGATGGTAATGTGTTATACAAGGAGATGAAGAAACAATATGATAGTTTTACCTTCACAGCTTCCAAAAATGGGACATACAAATTTTGCTTCAGCAATGAATTTTCAACTTTCACGCATAAAACTGTATATTTTGATTTTCAAGTTGGAGAAGACCCACCTTTGTTTCCTAGTGAGAACCGAGTCAGCGCTCTTACCCAGGTAAATATGAAGTCAGCAATATGAGGTGGGAATATTTAAAGGAAAAAAAGCATACTATTATGCATTAACTCATTGATGAACATAGAATTTTGACACTTAACAGTCTTTAAAACCTATTTTAATTCTTATGGTAGGTTAAGTATTTCACAGAGAACTTGAGATTTTTATAGTGAAAACCAATGCTAAAGGACTTTACAAACTTCTAAGCGTAAAGAAGGTAAGAAGTCTTAAAGTAAGAGGAAGATCATTAAGATAGAAACATCAGTAGGGAAAGGAAGTTTACAGAGGCTCAGCAATCACAGCTCCAGCATTGTGAAACTTTTTCTCTTACTTCATGAAGGAATATTACACTGCCTTACTGTAAAAATGGCATGGTGGCATCAGACCTCATCTAACTTCAGGGAAAAGAGAAAATCACCATCATTATCAGCCCAAGGCTGATTCCCATGAGGTGAAGGTCAGACATAACTCCACTCTCCAACCTTTTTTACCAATTCTGACACCAGCCATCCCTCCTACTGCACACTCTACTTCTCTGCTGGGTTTAATAATTCATTTCAGTGACCACACAGAACTCAAAGACCATACTTACAGTTAAGTTTATTAAGGAAGCAGCATGGTACAACTCAGGATCAGGAAGCATGTAGGCAGAGTCTGGAAGGCTTCTGTGAAGTGGAGAGCACATCCTCTCCCTTTTTCAGTGTAGGACCACTCTCACAGTGCCTCTTGGCCATCCAAGCAAGCAGGCCTTTTCTCTGCCATGCACACCCCCTGAGGACAGGCTTCCTCTCAGCCCCCTCAGGACAGGCTCCTCTCAGCTGGCCTCTGCCCTGCTCAGACAAGCGTTACAAAACTCTTTAGCTCTTCCAATAAGTGCCCAGAGGCATCCTACTTTACCAGCAAGCCTTCTGCCCAACGGCACTCAGCTCTCTTGCTCTGTGGGTAGGCAAGTCCACTGTAGCTGTCTTGCTCCATGGACTGAGAAGCCCATGACCATCTCACACCAGTCTCCTGATTCTGCTGCTGCTGTTTCTCTGCTGCACTTGCTGCTGGTTCTCTCTGGTGCCTTCTCCGGTGTTACACCTCTCTCTGTCTTGTTCGTCTAGGACATTGTCAGTGCAGGGTCCTTCGGTCCAAAAGACGTGCTCTGCTCTTGGCTCTGCTTATTGAAGGTAGAGAGGTCCCCTTCCCAGCTTCTGGGATTGGCTCATTTTAAGCCTAGGGGATGACAGAACTGAAAGATCCCTTCATTAGGATTCCATACACCTTATTTGCATGTACCCACCCTCGTAAGGTTTCCATGCACCTTATTTGCAGTTACTAGCAGGCTGTCCAATCCCCTTGGTGGGCTATAAGCACCTTATTTGCATCATCCCACCCAATCATTTTGTGGAGTCACAAGACCATGGCTAGAAGGGCCATATAAAGTAATCTACTGTACCGTGCCTACCTTAGCAGGTTTGTATAATTGAAAGCAAAACTAATGCCTTAATATGTAAATATACCACAGAGTAATCTTTTATACCAGTACTTAGTGTTACTCAAGCTTCTATTATAATAACTTTTGCTGTAACTTAAGGTAGAATATTGAAGATTAATGGTAAATTATGTAGCAAAAATAGTAAAGGAAGTTAAATTGAGTCTTACTTTGAAGGTGTTAATGAGTTAAAGAAATTGAAAGTCAATGAACAGACACTGCTCAGATAATGAGAAGGGTTATTTCTAGTTCAAATACAATATGAGCTTACATTATACTTGAAAGATTCAATAAGACATCAAAAATTCTTACCACGTACTTGTTAAAACCTTAAACTGGTATTTCATTGTTTCCAGGTTCCCTTCAGTCTCTTTGCTAAGGTCATGTAGGAATAGAGGTAGTTTTTAAGAATGCTTAAGAGTCTAATTCATAAGCCTATTGTAAGTGTTAGAAAGGTGTATCGAAATGCTCTTATTTTTAGACACGTTCTCTTTATATTAGGGTCCTGTGTAAAAGGCACTTTGCTTTTGTAAAACAGTTTTTCTCTGAGGCCATTGTTCAAAACTTAACCTGCGTCTATTCCTACATGAATTTTAACTTGCATAAGAAGGTAAAAACCAAACCAAACAGAGTGCATTCCATCGACGCACATGACCCCATGTGTGTCAGAGTACAAGTGCTTGCTTTAAAAACCAAAGTAGGTAAATGGCAGCAAATGAGTAGTAATAAAGCAGTTAGTATCACTTAGCCTCCATTATTTGTATCACAGTTTTTATCCTTTGTTAGTCTTATTTTCTACTTTAAAAAAGCTAGTAAGTCTCTCATATAGTAGGAATACTTAAAGTAGCTGTTCATACTTTAAAATTAAAAAAATCACCAACTAGTAAATGTAGAATAAATGATGGAATTTTGCTGTCACCAGTTTCTAAACATTAATAAAATGATGGCTCTAGAGTAGGCATTGATCACCAGTCACTGCTAAAATCATTAGGTGAAAAACTGATGGGAAACTTATAATAGGTGGATCAGACTGATTTCATCTAAATCTGTTGATCATTCATAAAAGGAAAGATAACCAGACACCATGTGTCTCCTGAAATTATACAGTAAGAAATACACAATACTGCCTATGAGATATTCTCACCCAGAACATTAAATCCCATCAAGCCCTTAGATTTACCAGTTTACAAGAAATACAGTAGTGGAGGAACACCATGAGAATGCAGTCAGTGAAATCCAAACAGTGAGGAATGCTATAGGACAAATGACCCACTTTCAAGGAAAAAAGAAAGAAAAACGAGGAGAACCTAAAGATTAAAGAAATAATAATTAATCAGCCAAATGATTGCATTAACCTTGTTTGGATTCTGATTTGAAAAAAACTTTTGAGACATTTGGGGAAATTTGAACACTATATTAATTGACCGTAAGGAACTATTTTTAATTATTTTAGGTGTGATAATGCTATTGGGGTTATATGTTTTTCAGTGTTATCTTTTAGAAGTAAATATAAAGTATAAAAGTATAGTGTTTGGAGCCCTGGTGGTGCAGTGGTTAAGTGCTTCGCTGCTAACCAAAAGGTCAGTGGTTTAAATCCACCAGCTGCTCCTTGGAAACCCTATGGGGCAGTTCTTCTCTGTCCTGTAGGGTTGCTATGAGTCAGAATTGACTCGATGGCAATGAGTTTGGTTTGTTTTTGTTTTTTCATAAAAGGTATTTATAGCTGAAATACTACGATATCAGGAATTTGCTTTAAAATAAACAATGAAAAGGAAAACAGATGGGTAATATAGCTGAAACAAGATTAAACCAAAAATCAAGACCATTGCCATCAAGTTAATTCTGACTCATGGTAATGCCATGTGTTTACAGAGTAGAACTACTCAATGGGGTTTCTTGGCTGTAATCTTTACAGAAACAGATCGCCAGGCCTTTTTTCCGCAGTGCTCCTGGGTGGGTTTCCACTACCAACTTTTAGGTTAGTAGTTGATTGTAAACCATTAGCACCACCCAGGGACCTGAAACATGATTTAGCCATATGTTAATAGTTTTATTGACATTAGGGTTCATTGTACTATCTCTATACTTTTGAATATGTATGAAAATTTCCACTTTAGAAGTAAAAGGAAGGAAATGCTGTATCTCAAAAATTGTATGAGCCCGCATAACTAGTCCCTTAATTTCCCTGATTTCCCCTAATCCAGCAGTTCTTAACTTATACTCGATGGACAGGCTTCAAGGAGTCTTAAACATTCTGAATTTGTGTCAGGCTGTTGTTTTTATGAGTACTTTCTAGGAGGAGAATCCTTGGGCCACATACCATTTTTATAATACATAGAAAGCACAGAAATGCTGGAAGTTCCTCTCTCTCTAGTCCCTCATCACGAATTAGAAATCATTCATTCTAGTACAGTTTTGCTAATCTTTCATTCCTAGGGACCTAAACAAAATAAGAACAACAAAAACATTTGACTATTCTAATACTGTAGCTAAATTCAATGTGTGGACCTCGTAATTTCTCACACTTTTTTTTAAGCATCCTTAATTGAATACTTTTGTAATTATTTCTTTCGTACTTACTTTGCTAGGACTTTAATGAATGTGTAAATTATTTCCTAATGTCTATATTGCTTCATTCTTTAAGACAAACTCAGGTTTGACTTTTTAAAATTCTTAATACATGATTTGTGATATAAAATAAGTATAATATAATAATAAAGCATGCATTTCATCACCAGGAGTAAGTTTTCAATCATAGAAAAATATTAAACTCTGGTATACAAAAAAAAAAAAAAAAGACATTTAAACCTTTTCAACGCAGGTGGTATAATGAATAAGATTTTATCAGACGAAGACTCACAAACTGATTACACAGTGAAACTGAAACTTATATCATATTGGGAATAGATACGTATTGGTTTAGTTGACTAGTGTGAGGCAGAAGACTTGTTTAGAAAATTGGTAAATATGTTTTTAAAAAGACATGTTTCTACTCTGACCTGTCACTTTCAGATTCAAAAGTTAGCTGAGGGTTTTGACGAACAATCCTGTTTCTTAAATATTAAACTTTGACTAACTCCATCTATTTTTATGCCATATTTGTTAATTTTTTGAATAGATCTTTGAGCTTTGATTTATACTCTTATTCTTGATTTAACTTACTGACCTGCCGATTCTCTTCCTCCTCATTCTTCTTTGAAGAACCCAGTCTAGGAATTCTATAGCTATCAACCTAGTTGTTGTTACTAGCTGCTGTCCAGTCATCCCCCAACTCGTGACCCTATGCACAATGAAGCAAAATGCTGCCCGGTCCTGGCCATCCCCATGATCGCTTGTGGATTGGTCTGTTGTAATCCATAGGGTTTTCATTGGCCAATTTTCTAAAGTAGATAGCCAGCCTTTTCTCCCTAGTCTGCCTTAGTATGGAACCTTTGCTGAAACCTGTTAGCATTATAGCAGCACGCAAGCCTCCACCGACAGACTAGTGGTGGCTGTGCACAAGGTACTGTCTTAGTTATCCAGTGCTGCTGTAACAGAAATGCCACAAGTGGGTGGCTTTAACAGTCAGAAATTTATTTTCTCACAGTTTAAAGGAGGCTAGAAGTCCAAGTTCAGGGTGCCGACTCTAGGGGAAGGCTTTCTGAGACTTCCTGTCAGCTCTGGAGGAAGGCCCTTGTCTCTTCTGAGTTTCTGCCCCAGGGCCGTCTTCATGTGGCTTGGCATCTGTCTTCCCCCATCTCTGCTCTGCTCACTTGTTTAATCTCTAGCCCTGGTGGTGGAGTGGTTTAAGAGCTATGGTTGCTAACCAGGTCAACAGTTCGAATCCACCAGCCGCTCCTTGGAAAACCCTATGGGGCAGTTCTGCTCTGTCCTGTAGGGTCACTATGAGTTGGGATCGACTCAATGGCAGTGGGTTTTTTTGGTTTATATCTCAAAAGAGATTGACTCAAATTAACACCTTACACTAATCCTCCCTCATTAACATAACAAACGGATCCCATTCCCAAATGGGATTATAACCACAGGCGTAGAGGTTAGGATTTACAACTCGTATTTTCTGGGGGCATAATTCAGTCCATAACAGGTACATTGGCTGGGAATGACACCAGGTCTCCCGAATGGAAGGTGAGAATTTTACAACTGAACCACTAATGCCCCTTTGTTCTTGTTAGTTCCTGTGGAGTCAGTCCTGACTCACGGCGACCAAATGTGTGTCAGAATAGAACTGTGCTCCGTAGGGTTTTCAATGGCTGATTTTTCAGACATAGATTACTAGGCCTTTCTTCTGAAGTGCCTCCTGATGGACTTGAACTTTCAGCTTTTTGGTTAGCAGATAAGAACATTAACCATTTACGCCACCCAGGCCCTATTGCCAGGACTAGTGCGTAAGTGAATGAATGAATGAATGTCAGTTTAGTAGAATGTTAATCAAATGAGGAATTGAGATTAAATTGAAAGAAAAGATCAAAAGATGAATCTGCTAGATGGATTGTACAGAAAGTATTGAAGAAGCTAACTGAAAGTGTTTTTCTTTAGATGGAATCTGCCTGTGTTTCAATTCATGAAGCTCTGAAGTCTGTCATCGACTATCAGACTCATTTCCGATTGAGAGAAGCTCAAGGACGAAGCCGAGCAGAGGATCTAAATACAAGAGTGGCCTATTGGTCAGTAGGAGAAGCCCTCATTCTTCTGGTGGTTAGCATAGGGCAGGTATTTCTTCTGAAAAGCTTTTTCTCAGATAAAAGAACCACCACAACTCGTGTTGGATCATAACTACACTTTGAGAATTGACGCACCATTGCCACTGTAATATTGCTGTCCTCTAATTGATTTTAGGTACCGAAGAACTTAATATTGGCAACATTTTTGAAAATTTTACTCATACTTGTTGCGGGGCATGTACGATGCATATCCCCAAACTGGAAAGGACACCGTTTTTTTTTTTTTTTTTTCATTTGTAAAGGTGGAAAAACTTTGGAACTTATTTTGGGCTATTAATGTTAAATATTCAGCACCAATGATCTACTCTTTCCTTGGTTATTTGTATCTACTCTTCGCACACTGAACTTTGGTATTTTGATTCCTTTTAACCGTTTGAAAGATACTTTTTCTTATAGGTAGTTGATATTTTAAAAACCTTAGATTTAAAGTCTATATATGTTGTGGAGGAAGAAAATTGCCCTTTAATTGTTTATAGTGACTAAAATTTTGTGTTTTAAGAAAACCAGATGTGACTAACTATAGCTCAAACCCTATTCTGCACTGTTTAATTTTTTGGGAAAGAAGAAAAAAAAATTACCATGGAAATGTTAGTTAATATTATAATTTTAAATTGATACATCATGGTATAATTTATTTTTCATTAGCTTAGAAAGTGTCAGAATTTTGTTTTGGGGGTTTATTCTATGATTTATAACCAGATGTTATTCTTTCATAAAGGCATTCTTACCACACAGAGTAACAGTATGTTTCAATAAAATATAGTTTATACAGGCTTTAAAAATCAGACTGTTAGAACAGGTAGAATATTACAGAATAATTTAAGACACTACAATGGGGGCAAATGAAATGGGTAAATTTATAGTGAATTATCTGCACACTGTATTTCAATACTTTTACAAAGGAATAAGGTGGTCTGTTTCATTTAACATTTTAATTGGCTGGTTCTTACCCATATGTGGCTTTAATGTCTTTGAGTCATTTTCAGCTTAAATTGACAGTTGTAATATTAGTATCACATAAGTGCCATACATTTTATCCTGATGGTGGGATGCACTGAGAAGTTAGGTTTTTGTTTGTTTTTTGCCTTGCACATGAGATTTCTGTAATCTGGTTAGTAGCCCTAAAATGATTTAAAAATTTAGAATGCTTATATGTGTGTATTTCTTATTTGATAATCTTCATTGATTGTATTGCATTTGATGAGTATTAAATAATGCATATTCTGTACATTATAAGGTTTAGACTGTGTTTGTATCTTACTTGTATAGATTGAGCCAATTGAAGTAAGATTTAGTTCCAAGTATTCTGGAATAGAATACAAGATGATGCAAAATTGTATAGATTTTTAAAGCTTTTTGCTGTTTAAAAAGGTTGTGACTGCTTTTCTGCCGTGCCCTGTCCCCCACCCCAAGGTGATGAGTGCTGAACAAGACTGTCATATTGTAGTGACCGATATGTGGTACGATATAATGCTGGTTGGCAAGCAATTGTGATCACTTACCACGACTGACCAGAAGTTAACTCCTAATTCTAATCTGTCTTGAAATACATATATACATTTCTGCATATAAGAGCAAAATTCATTGAGGTTGTCAGAGTAAAATTAAGTGAGGGTGTCATCCTTGCTAATTTCTAATGCCACAGTGTAGCAAAGGATGAACATGTTTTGAATCCTTTAATTCTAAGATTTTTGAAGACCAAATAGCTCCTCCTTAAACAGTATCTATCAGTGGATTCAGAACTGAAGTTTAAGATTTTCCAGATTTATCTTTTCAAGTTCTTGGAGTTGTCATGCAGCTTTATAAGTATCCCTCTATATTTAATTTGAAAATTTTAAACATTAATGTTAATGTAATTGATAAGCATGGGCATATGTAGAATGTCCTTTTCTGGTTACCTGTCTATCCAGATACTGATACTACACCGTAATTAAACAGTCTGGTCTCAGCGTGTCCAGTCTGGCATAGGTAGATAGATAGTACAGCAGTTTAATTTGTGCCTCTCAAAACTTCATGATATTAGATTATTACCCTAAATGATTTTTGATGAAACTATTGAAATATATTAGAATTTTTGAAATCACCACTGTTACCTATGGTAAATAGTGTGGGCTTGGTCCAGTCTGTATGTAACTGGTTAAATCTTGATGGCTGTCTGTACTCACCTGGTATGTGTGTGTGTGTGTGTGTGTGTATATATATATATATATATATATTAGGATATATGTATCTATTTGGACATAAATGTTAAGTAAGAACAGGTTTTTTTTTTCTTTTTTCCTTCCTCCTACTATAATTTGTAGCTCACCTTATTTCTTTAATTCTGTCATAATTTGTTGCAGCAGTTTGAATTTTCCAAATATTTGTGTTTGAACATATGGCTCAGAATACATATTTAAGCATCATAGTTGTATATATTTTTAAAATAGAATAAATATACCATCAAAGATGAGCAAACTAAAACAAACACTTCGAAAGGAAGAATAAATAATGGAAAGGGGCTTGATATACAAGTTTATACTAAAATCCAACTGTGTGAAGATACATTTTAAAATACTACTTTGCTAATAATCTAATTTTTTTTTCTACTTAAGAAACAAATGCTTTGTGGTTCACAGCTTTCATTCAGGCTTGATGAAAACCAACTTTGAAAATACAGTGAACCAAAAAACAGTTTTATTCCTGGAAAAATTTAATTGAAATCTCTGTACTGTCCTTTTTTTGTTTCAGTTTGTAAATGTGTAACAATTATAGTTAAATAGGACAAAGCAGACCCTATGACTATGTTTTGAAAAATTAAATTAATATATAAATAATTCAAAGGGGTTTTTCATTTACTTTTAAAAGGAAAAGAAATTTCTCTAAATTAAACAGATGTTGGTTCTACAGGATTGCGCACCAATTTCTTTTTTTTAATTATACTTTACAGAACAAATAGTTTCTCATTAAACAGTCAGTACACATATTGTTTTATGACATTGATTAACAACCTCACAACATGTCAACACTCTCCCTTTTCCACCTTGGAGGACCTTTCTTTTTTTTTTTTGGTAAAAATATACGTACTCAATACACTATTGCAAAAATTTCTACATATACGATTCAGTGACATCGATTACGTTCTTCCAGTTGTGTTGCTATTCTCACTATCCTTTTCCAAATTATTCCATCACGATTATCTTCAACTCTCTGTCCCCTAGGCTTCCCATCAAACCTTTTAAGTTGCTGTTGTCAATTTGATCTCACACAGATAACTTTTTTTTTTTTTTTTTT